TGGGTAGCAGGCAGATATTCTCACATGTTTACCTGTTGGGTAGCAGGTAGATATTCTCACATGTTTACCTGTTGGGTAGAAGGTAGAGAATGTCACACATTTACCTGTTGGGTAGCAGTTAGATATTCTCACATGTTCACCTGTTGGGTAGCAGGTAGAGAATGTCACATGTTTACCTGTTGGGAAGCAGCTAGATATTCTCACATGTTTACCTGTTGGGTAGCAGGTAGATAATGTCACATGTTTAACTGTTGGCTAGCAGGCAGACAAGTTTACCTGTTGGATACCTGAAATAATTGCCTACAGGTTACCAGCCAGTAACTAAGCGGAGTCACAGGCTGTAACAAACACAACTGTATGATTCAGACATCAACTGTACAGTGACATTTACAGTCCAAGAAGTTAATGTGCATAGATAAAGTAACAGAAACAAAGCAAACTTAACAGAAACAATGTATGCATAAATCCACATAGCAAATACAAAATTGGCAGTATAAATGATTATTATACGAGTGAGACAGATGCATCGTACACAGAATGCCAGGTCACGGACAAACTATTCAGTCAAATTGTCAAAATCACACGAAAAATAAAACTTAAGACCTTCAGAAAAAGTTTAACATATACCCACATTCTTCTTCCTGTAATCATTGTTCATTTAAAGATTATCATCATTGCACATGACCATGTCTTTCTGTAATCTTTTTGATCTGATCTTCCTGCAATCAAAAAGATATCAATTTTGTTTTTTCTTCTTCTTAGCTGTAAAATCTGGCAAAAAAGTTCTGGTTGTTTGTCCACATCTGAACATTAGTCTTATTCCAGAACTTGAAATCAAATTCAAGGTTTGTTTTGATCTGTGTTTATCAATGGATATCATTGCAAAATTAAAACAAACACTGTGAACAAATACAAAGATTATACAAGCTGTAAGCAATGCTAGAAAACAGATGCTACGTACGACAGACAATGTTTGCTTGATTTCTTCTTCACAAAGCTAATTTCAACATGCATCTCTGATTCTCACTTTCTCAGGGACAACTCGTAAAAAAAATTATATTTTCTGTTAAGACAAAAATAATGTTTATATTCATGAACCAGTATAACATTTGTATTAGCACATATATAATATGTATATATAAGATAGCACTAACAAAATAACACATGCTGATATGAATGAACATGGAGAGAAGACATATGTATAAACATCTACAACAATCACTTTTGTCAGACTCCCAAATGGCGAAGTATGTAGAATGTAAAAATAAAAATAAAAACAATCTGTTACAAATTTCTATCTTAGGGAGATTCAATGCTGTGAATTAATTACATGTAACACACACCTGGTACAAATAAATACATACTAACTCACAGTGTCTGGACTTGACTCATGCACCAGCTACAGAAACTGTAGTCCAGATACTCTTTGACTTACAGACAAGCTGATTGGTTTCCATCTTGATGAGGGAAAGACAGACAAGTGGATGGGTCTCCAGCTTGTGAAATGAAAGACAGACAAGTGGATGGGTCTCCAGCTTGTGAAATGAAAGACAGACAAGTGGATGGGTCTCCAGATTGTGAAATGAAAGACAGACAAGTGGATGGGTGTCCAGCTTGTGAAATGAAAGACAGACAAGTGGATGGGTCTCCAGCTTGTGAAATGAAAGACAGACAAGTGGATGGGTCTCCAGCTTGTGAAATGAAAGACAGACAAGTAGATGGGTCTCCAGCTTGTGAAATGAAAAACAGACAAGTGGATGGGTCTCCAGCTTGTTAAATGAAAGACAGACAAGTGGATGGGTGTCCAGCTTGTGAAATGAAAGACAGACAAGTGGATGGGTGTCCAGCTTGTGAAATGAAAAACAGACAAGTGGATGGGTGTCCAGCTTGTGAAATAAAAGACACACAAGTGGATGGATGTCCAGCTTGAGGAGAAAAAGAGAGACAAGTAGTTGAAAGTCTAGCTTGATGAGTGATGGACAGACAAGAGGATGGGTCTTAACTTCAAGTGGCAGAAATTACGCAAAAGCTGCTGTAAACGAGACCAGGAACTTTACATGCTGACCTGATGGTTACTTGTCAAGACCTATACACCTGCCTACTGTACATGATTTTATCTGATAAGTTCTCTCATGTGACCTGGAAAATGGGGACCTGACTGAATTTCAGTCACAAACAGGACACCATAGGGCTGTGCCTGTTTACTAAGGGGACGCAGTTTTAGAAATGGGGATGGTCACAGACCAGAGGACCAAGCTCTAGCATATAAAGATCACTAACACAGTAAAATTTGCAATGATCCGCAGGCCACTTGCTAATGACCCGAAGCTTCAGGAGAAGCAAGGGAGCAGATAGCAACTTTGTACCTCTCTTAATAAGTCCTGTAACCCACTGATTATTAAGTCACAACTGCTACACACTTGTACATTTTTCTGTGTACAGACTTGATTCTACTGCACACTTGGCAAATTTGATGTGCTTGGTCTTTCTCTGGTTCCTACAGTACATGTAACAGTCAATTTAATCTTCAACATGCTATTTTGTCTGTCATTTTTATTCCACCCGCTGAATTCTTCACCTGACCTTGGGTTGAATTCTCCACACTGCCAGTTCCGACCATGTTTTATTGCGACTATAAACTATATCCAGACACATACACACACACAAACACAAGAAATGCCAACAGCCTTGCCTCACTGTTGCAGATGCCAGTATTCAGGGGCAGACAACTCTGAGGCTATGAGCCAGGTGGTGACCCCTGTATAAAACAACATACATGTTCTACACAACTGCACAGCTCAAGGACAACAAGTCTACACAGACGGCACCAGGACGGAAGATGGGATAATTCACCGAGGTGATTTAGCATTGAAGGTAGCTTCACCCTCAGCTTGGCTTGAACATCTGGCTCATTCAGTTCTGTAAACCAAGGTTAAACAAACTCAATTATCATTTGACGTCATTACAGCTGTAATCACATTTTATCAACTATTTCACATTCTGTTTTTTCGACGTTCTGAGAGGTGCCTCATGAATCTTGTCTCCGTTACTCAGGAAATACAGGGGCACCATAAAATCTTATTGCGTTTTCCCTCTACTACTTAGTCTGAAAAATTTAGGTGTAGCCCAATATGCCCAATGCTCATGAAGGCATGGAAAAAGGTCTTTTACTTTTTATTGAAGAAACAGAGTTTCAATGAAGTCTTATTTAGTCTGTCTGTCCATTGTATAGCTGCACTTAGGTTTTCTTTTCTACTCTGGAAAATAGAAGTAAACTGATCTCATTAAGTCTTTCCTCGCTTTAGGATCCTCTGTCTTTATGGCACACGTACATAATTCTTGAGATGCCTTGGTGTAGTAGCTAGATGCCTGCCAGTGGATCTGTAGGTCATGGGTTCAAATCTGAATGGTGCCAGACTTTTTCAAAAATGACCTTGGCAACAAGGTCGACCCAGCCTTTACCAAGTAAAGCCCAGGGAAGTAAAGGCAACGGGTGTGATGTTGACCACATCACTTACTAAGTACCAATTGCTAGAAAATATAGATCTAGCACTATATACCCAATAATGAATGCCTGAAGGCAGGGAAAAGAGTTCATACACAATTCTTGATTCAACAAAGCAAGGTCTATGAGACTCAGGAGAGATTAATCCCACCAACATTAAAGAGAAGGTAAGTTTTTCTTTAGCATCAATTAGCCAGTAAGTATTCACATGTCTCTCTTAAACACCATCAATCCATCTTATTGTTCTGAATGACCATATCAGGTGTGCAGGTGCAAATAATCATGTGGGCTCACTAAGTGACCAAACAATACAGAGACTAATGTCTCAGATATTATGTCTCACCTGCCCTTGTTTAACATGATGATCCTATCTGTTGCTGACTCTACCATGTGCTCAGACATCAGCATATTGATAATGATACATGTACGCTGAAGTTAGGTCTTCTATCATTCTTACCAAACAAGCTAACTTGTGATCTTTTAAAAGCATTTCCTTACTGTCAACCTTCTGGCTTTATGCCAGCCAATAAATACATCAACATCATCATCCTGTTGTGTTGTATTTCACATAGGGCTCACAGTTTAGTCTTCCATTCAATTTTATCCTGTGCAATTGCTACAACATAATGAGTGGAATCTAGACCAGCACCTTTGGCCTTTCCCATCAACATTCTTCTTAGGGTTTTTGTCCGTTAGTCCCTCTCATCCCCAATACTCATGGTAGGGTTTCTTTCAAAACATATTGATATATTAGTCCCCTATTTCATAAACAGAAGTCAAGATGGTTTAAAGGCCAATGCACTTGCCTGCTTAATAAACATTGCAAGTAATTTGCTATTATCACGTGTTTCGTCCTTTTGAGGATGACATTTTTTGTTATTTGAAGCCCCACCCTGGTTTTTGCCAGGGGCCGCAATATAGGCAGGCCATAAATATGGCCAATTGTCTGAATGCGGTTTCTGGGACCTCTCCACGGCGATCCTCATCCACATGGTGATACTTTGTGTCATCGGGTGTTTATCGCTTGTGTGATGTCCTGGTGGGGTAGAAATTCAGTCAGTCACTCTGCCTGCTTAACTCGTGGTTCAAGGTTCACATTTCCCCATATCACATCAGCCAGGATATTAAATACCTGAACAGCGGCAACAGGTAATTTATTCTTAGCCTTTCTTCTTCTAGTCTGGAATAGATACATGGTCAATCCTCCTTAGTCTTTCTTTTTCTAGTTTGGGATGTACATAGGTTTGTATTCATCCACTAGCCTGTGGTGTAAAGCTGTCTCTATATTTCTAAAATGTTTTTTAAGATGATTGACAAAAGAAGCAAGAAGAATGATCCACGTGGGATGAACTAAGGCCCTGACAGTAGGCAGCCAGTGTGCTGTTCTAAAGGTCAACAGGAAAACAGGAAACAAAATGTACCACAATCATATGAGATGAAAGAGGCGGTCAACTTACAATACTTCTGTACATAGTTTCCAGGAAAGGTACCAAACTGCCCGGTCCTGGCTGATGTGCCTACGTACCAGCCATCGTCACATTTCTCCATCACAAACACCTCGTCACCCTCAGTTAACTCCAGCTCATCTTCACTCTGAGGCCTGTAGGCGTACACAGCTCGGTATCTGTGACAGAAAAATCATTTACCAATACAAAGATGGAGAGAAAATAAAAAAATTTAAATAATTTTGTAAAATACACACATTCAAGAAAAAACTGATTTTGTAAATAAACAAAATATTACAAAATCGGAAAACAATTAATAGAACATGTAGAAAAACATTAAGAAGGAAAAAATTAAGATGGCATATATGCGTACGTTAAACAGGGTTAACTGACATTGCACTCCTCCTTTAAAAGATACGGGGGAAGAAGGGTGGAGCATACATATGAAAATAAGGCAAGGGCATAAGGGGGCTCCTTGAATTGGGTTCAGAACAACAATCACGGCAATCAGGAACAACGTCGCCTAGACAATCAGTCGCACGCACCTCTCGCTTGCTCAACCGCCCGATCAGCCACATGTGTCTCTCGTCTGCCCGCTAACTACTCATTCGTAGCCTGATTCTCGATAGCTAGATACTGGTCAATACTCTCATGATATTCGGTTGAGTTTGGCTCGACTACGCTATCGGGGTCGTCTGCGTTTGGGTTATTAGCAGCCCGTGAGCACGCCATTGTTGAGGAGCCAGCTGTAGCATCCATTTGTGAAAGATTGTCTCGTGAACTGCGGAGAAAACACGCTTGGTGCCCTTTTCAGAGCACTCAACAAGCCTTGTGGACTCTGCAGGGATCGAGCTATCAATAGCCCCCTGAGAAGTACCGCTTTTTTGCCAGCCACAGCCACACTAAATCATGGCCCGTGGAAAGAAGAATCCAGTTCAGCGCCGAGACACCAGGTCGACCTCAACCAACAAGGAGAAAGCACCTGTCATCGCACCAGCCCTGACGATGCCAGAACCGGTCGACGATCCGGAAGAGATGCCAGCCCCAAATCACCCAGACGCCGCCAACCCTTGATGTAGGCCCTATCGAGGCACCTGTATACTTTGAAGTCGCCCCAGTCATGGCGCAGGGAGCCACCATCACCCGCCCACTCCGGCAGCAGCAGCGACCGGGAACCCACAGTACAGAGATTCTGCAGTGCTCACGCTGTAACAAGGCGTGGCACACAGCCGCAGCCTGCCGCAGCAGCCTAGCATGCAGATACTGTTCTCAAGCGCATGATTTTAAGGAGTGCCCCCTGGCCAAGAAGGACCCTGACTTTAAGAAACCCAACCCGAGCAGACGATGCTCAAACTGTGGAGGGGCCCACAACGAGAGGTACCTGGGTTGTCCGTACCTCAAGCAGATGAAGATGGCGATGACTAATGCCGGACCCAGACACCAGCAGAGGTACGAGGCACCCAGACCGAGCACCACAAGAAGCCAACCCACTCGCCCAGCCAAAAACAGAACACCAGAGAGGAAGGAGATTACCATCAGAGATCCTGAATTGATGAGCGCGATAACCGATCTGAAGGCAGAACTGCAGAAGGTGAAAGTTACCGCCGCCGCCGAGAGAGCAGAGACGCACGAATTAATCCCACTGTTGCTAGAGGAGATTAAAACCCTGAGAGAGGAGAGATCCGCACAAACGAAACTGAACACCGAATATTTTAACCAAGCGAAAACAACAAAAGAAAACATCAATGCTCTATTCACCAGACTTGGAGCCGCCCAGATAGCAGACGAAAAGCGCCGACAGGAAGAAGGGGAGGGGAGAAGAAAGGAGCTGGCTGAGCTAACCATTGCACCAGAATCAACATACCAAGAAGTTGCCAAATTAGTAAAAACAAACGCAGAGGCCGAAGCAGCCACACAAGCAGCAAAGTCAGAACGTGCCCTCCTAGAGAAGGAAAGAAATGCCGCAAAGAAAACTATCATCAGCAGAGCTGATAAAAGTACCTGCACCGACAAACCTAAAACAACCAAGCACCAGGCACAGATGACTGAATCACCAGAAAGCAGAGACCAAGGCACAGAAACCAATAGCTCGGAACTAGACTATGAAACTGAACAAGAAGCCGACCGGATAAGTCCCGATGATGGCACAGAACCAGTAACAGAAGCGACCCTAGCTGCTGAAGTGACTACAAAAGGTGAAAAATTTAAAAAAGCGGTAACCAACAAGGAGATAAGCGAGGCCGACATCCTAGAGAGGCTACAAAGTATTAACAAACAAATACACCCGCACGAGATCCGGCTAGAGGACGGCCGCCGTTACATTATCAGATTTGATGAAGAAGAGAGAAAGAAAGTCAGTCTACTACCCGACATGGAGCGCAAAGCCCTCTACAAGCAAATCAAGGGGTTCTGGGAAGAAATGTGCGCGGCCCATGAACAACTGATCAAGGCAAGAAGGAGAGGGACATACCATGGAACGCCAAACAGACGCTACCGCTAATACTGACGACCCACTCACTTTCACCCGAAACGACCTGGTCAAGCTACAATCTTGCGGGAAACAAAGGAAATCAACAGCTACCCGCCAAGCAGAATAACACCCAGACACCTCAGCAGTCCCGCCAATTTTCCCCGCACAATGGCCTACCCCGGCTACGTAACCGTTCTTTTCAGAACGGCTAAACCCCCCCCCCATGCTGAACGACAACCTTCCTCCCGAACCACGCCAGATTGAGCCCAATGCGAAGCAGACAAACGAAAACAGCAACAAAAGCAGAACTCAGATGTGACATCACATCACAAAGAATCTACAAAAATTAACCACAAAGAAACCGGGCCGACCAGATAACCACAGCTCAGATAGGAGCCGGTTAAGCGTCGCCGCACTTTCAAATTTTTGTTTTCACCAATCAAGATCAAGATTGGGTTCAGAAGGGTAAGAGGTGTCTGTGAAGACAGACAGATGACAAAGAAGAACTTTAAGAAGAAAAGAATTTAAAAAAAAAAAATCAGACACTGAGTAATACAATCAAAGAGACTATTAACATTATTTCAGACAACAATAGGACATGAAGGAATGTTTTCAGCTTTCGTCAATAAAAGGGTGGTTGGCACGTTGTAATGTGGATGTGATATCTGGGCGTCTTAGCCCAACAAACCATATCTCAGTAAAACCTTAATGGGTCACTTTTTGTTACAGAGCAGTGAGTTTAATCTTGTTTTCACACCCCCTCCCCCTTTTTTCCCCCCAATGGGGCCTCAACACCCTAAAGGGATACATGAATGAACAAAATCAATGAAGAAATGAAAAAGGTTCTTGCAGTGAATGCATAACCAGCCACATTTAGTTGTACATTATCAATTATAACCCCTCATGTGCTACCTGAAATAAGCTTCTAGTACTTCTAGCCCTAAACTGAACCATTTCAGGTGATCTGTACTGACAAAAAAAAAAAGAAGGAATAGAGCTGTTCAAACCTCTGCAAAGCTAAATCATCATCTGGCACTTTTGATCGAGGCTTGCTGACTGCAGCATTTGCTGATGAGGCAATTTCATAGTTGAGTTTTGCACTGGGCATTGGACTGGTAGATGCAGGTTCTGGTTTTGACCAGTCTGAGGTGACTCCATAACCCTTTCTGGTTCCCGGAGGACTAAGGACTCCTTTCTGTCCATACAGTGAGAACTCTGGAGACCTGTAGTCAGTGGGAGCTTGAGGCTCATACGGGAACCTGCTGGGCTGTCTGTAACCATAGGCTGGGGCTCCTGATGAATGCTGGACAAATGCACTTGGGGATGGCTGAGGTGGAGGTGTTGGTGCTTCCAGGCCTACAGGAGACAGCATCTCAGGTGTGCCTGGGCAAGTTAGAAAAAAAAAATGATAAGTGATGTGGTGAATTCACAGTAATGAAATAGTGGTAAAATTGATCTTAGAGATATGGTTTGTGCTGTTTCTACGTAAGGATGTGAAAATTAGACTACGATTAATGAAATGGTGTGACAGCTGAAGATAAAAGGGCTTACTCAGCATAATAAAATGTGCACCAGAACAGTTTCTTATAGGTAAGGCAGCCAGCATGACAGTGACATCAGCCACAACATGATAATGACATCTGCCACAATGTGATAATGACATCAGCCCCAATGTGATAAGGACATCTGCCACAATGTGATAATGACATCAGCCCCAATGTGATAATGACATTAGCCACAGTAAGATAATGACATGAGCAAAATGTGATTATGATATCAGCCACAATGTGATAATGACATCAGCCCCAATTTGATAATGACATCTGCCACAATGTGATAATTACATCTGCCACAATGTGATAATGACATCTGCCACAGTGTGATAATTACATCTGCCACAATGTGATAATGATATCTGCCACAATGTGATAATGACATCAGCCACAGTAGGATAATGACATGAGCATAATGTGATTATGATATCAGCCACAATGTGATAATGACATCAGCCCCAATGTGATAATGACATCTGCCACAATGTGATAATGACATCAGCCACAGTAAGATAATGACATGAGCATAATGTGATTATGATATCAGCCACAATGTGATAATGACATCAGCCACAGTAAGATAATGACATGAGCATAATGTGATTATGATATCAGTCACGAGGTGATAGCGTTAGCAGCCACAATGTGATAATGAGATCAGCCATTGATTTAATGCTGTTTTCGCTGCTTTGGCTCTGGGGCTTCACTGGAAAAAGGGGGGGGGGGGGGCATTGTAATAAGCATAATTAGAGCAAATTAACTGGGGTGTTTCCTTCTAAGTCAGAGTGCATCTATCTGTATGACAGGCAAGGTACTAATAGTCTGCATACAAATATGCCAGACAGGTAAAACAGATGCAAACAAGAAGCAAAAGAAGAAGGTAGTTTGGTCAAGGATATGATAAAAGCTAATTATCCCCTATTATCATCAAAATAAGTTGTGTTGATTAAAATATCTTAACGCGAAGTCTGTCACGGTGAGGATAGAGGGCACTTCATCAGACAGTGGTACTTGAGACACTGAAAGTGGTGGGGGTTGCAGAGCTAATGATGGTACAGGACCAAGAATGATGACGTGGAAATGTTGGTACAGGCGTAATGTTGGTGCAGAGATAATGATGGTAGAGGAGCAACAATGATGTGACGGTAATGTTGGTATAGGAGGAACAATGACGTAAGGGGAATGCTGAACTGGAGTAATAATGAGGGTAATGTTGGTGCAGGGGTAATGATGTTACAGTAGTAACAATGATCTCAGGGTAATGTTGGTACTGGGGTAATGATGGTTTAGAAGCAATGATCTGAGGGTAATGCTGATACAGGGGTAATGATGGTATAGGTGTAACAATGATCTGAGGGTAATATTAGCACAGGAGTAATGAAAGTAAAGGAGTAACAATGATCTGAGAGTAATGATGGTACAGCAGAAACAATGATCTGAGAGTAATGATGGTACAGCAGAAACAATGATCTGAGAGTAATGGATGGTACAGGAGTGACAATGATCTGAGAGTAATGGATGGTACAAGAGTTACAATGATCTGAGAGTAATGGATGGTACAAGAGTTACAATGATCTGAGAGTAATGATGGTACAGCAGTAACAATGATCTGAGAGTAATGATGGTACAGCAGTAACAATGATCTGAGAGTAATGATGGTACAGCAGTAACAATGATCTGAGAGTAATGATGGTACAGCAGAAACAATGAGAGTAATGGATGGTACAAGAGTTACAATGATCTGAGAGTAATGATGGTACAAGAGTTACAATGATCTGAGAGTAATGATGGTACAGCAGTACTGATGGCCCAGGGGTGACAAAGATTTGAGAGTAATATTGGGTCAGAGGTAATGATAGTGCCGGATTAACACTAAAGTAAGGGTTATGTTCACAGACGGTTAATGATGGTGTGGAAATAAGGATGGAGAAAGGAAACGAGAATGAAAAGCATATTACCTGCCATGGGTGTGGTGATGACTGAGGGTGCAGGGGTTATCAGTGGGGTGGATGGCTCTCGGATCACCTCAACATATGCCACTGGGAAGATACCTTGTCTTCCTCCAACACGACCTTCGTACCAGTTTTCATCCACTCGACGCAGCAGGGTCACAAACTCTCCCTGTCACAAACAAGAATCACTATAATTACAGCCCCTGAAAGATGCAGCCAAGAATTAAGATCCACAAACCTGTCAACCTCCACAGTCAGTTCAGTGGGTATCATCGTTACTCAGTTCCTCAGACTACCGCCAGAAGATGGCAGATCTCTTATCAGTTTCATCCCATACAGGGCCCCAGATGGAGGAAATCAACCCACTGCCTCCTGACAAGCATGTTATAAAATATGACATATTAGGGGTGTTTTCTTGGAAGTCAGAGTGATAACCTGAGAGGCAAGGAACCAATAGTCTGCATATAAATAAGCCAAATGATGTGCACAGACAAAGTTTTGGAGCAAAATTAAAGTCCAGAAGTAGATGAACAACCAGAACTTTCCACTGGAGTTTACAGCTAGTGATCGCTTAAGAAGCAAAAGAGGTTATTGTCTGCAATGAAACCAGAGAGCAGTTTGCTTTCAACAATTTTTGCATTTTCTGTTTAAAGACAATAAAGTTTTATCATGTAGAGGGTATATTGTTTAAAAAAAAATAGCAAAAGAAAAACCATGCAATCTCTTTCCAAAGCCTTCAGAATTTGAAAAGGTGACAAAGAATCCCATGGAAATATTGACCTTCCGAAATGAGTTAACAGGTATGGTCTTGCTCTTGACCCACCAATAAGCTTCCAATGACATCCATACCTTTCTTAATTCTTTGAGTCCCATGAAATGCATCACACGCTATTTTGTTACAACCGTGACGCACAATCGGCGCGTGACAAGTGATGGTTTTTAATCTACCACTGACCGGTTGTAAAATGTGGACCGCCCAATTTCAACTTCCTTTGGAGTTCTTTGTGTCTGATATCCAGCGTGCTCGTTCAGAAACGTGGGTTGAAAGCAGAAAATATAATATATTTGTGAGATTCCAGAGTTACTAAGTGTTTGTTTGAAAAGAATATGGCCGCCAAGCACTATTCTTCGTGCATGCCATCATGATTTACGGCCTTAGAAGATTAAAATTTAAATAAAGTACGTGTTTTTTTTAGATTTATCTGAAGTTAGATAGATAACGTTGCGAATTAGGCATGTTTCAGTCATTTATAGAGTCAAACTTTGATGAGGGATATGTCTAATGTGTACCTCACGCGAATGGTACAACAATAGCAAAGTCAGCTGGCACAAATAAAATAAACATCAGTGAAAAGACGATTTTCTTCAGTGTCAGTTAGTTCTAGTGCTATTCCCCGTATTATTTAGGAACAAAGCTACAAAATTACAGGCAAATTGAGTTATATAAACTTCATTTTGTGAAGTCAGTTTTCTTTACCAAATAATGGTGCTTTGTTATGATGCTTCAAAAGATTCTCTGGAACAAGATCTAATGTACAGATTGAGTTTATATTTTACTTATACATTACTAAGTGGTTCATATTCATTTGTGATTCATTTTGCATACATTTTAACCAGTTTTTCTTGATTTCCATGTTGGTAAATAGAATTTTTTAAATTTCATGTTACTAATTTTTGTAAACATAACGTCTGTTTATTTACTAATAATTAATTACTAACATAATTATTTGTTGTAGCTCTATTCTAAAATTATTCCTCAACAATCCCTGGTCACTTTGATGTATAATATGTGTATGTTGCGTGGCAATTGAATTAGTATTGTCTGTTTTAATGTGTTACACTTGTGAAATTAAAAATTTGCATTACCACCCCTTGGGCTTCTGATGCTAAACCCCCTGGGACTCAAAGAGTTAATGGCATCTAAACATGTTTAAATGAGAATCCATAACTCTCTTACATTGTCTGCTAAACCACAGTTCTTACCTTCCGTAATGACAGCTCTACTGTTGATTGTCCTGTGAAGTTAAACTTGGCTCTAGCCTGACCTTCAGCATCTAGAGCAGCAACCCGGGCAGCTTCTATTGAGGTCAATACCTGAAATTATTGCTATACCTGTTAATTTCTGTTGAACGCTTACAACCCAGCTATATTATGTTAATTATTGTAATAATGAGGACACAACCAGCATACTGTACAAATTATTGCCTGATATTTTCTTAGGGTGTAGTTTCAATAAATTCTAAGGATGCATTTGTTAAAACAAAATTTTAAAAAAAAAGGTTATTTTTTAAAGATTTTAATGGGGCGAAAAAGTTCAGAAACTTGCATCACAGCACTCAGATCATTCCAACAAAAGCTCTGTCTCCATCTTCAGCAGCCAGCATGGAGTTCCAGTGCTGATACTTCCAGGAGTAGTCTGTATGTCTTTGCTTTTCCTACCGATTATATTCCCTGGGCACTCCCCAATGTACCATTCTCATCAAACTGTGCTGATCTAGTTGTGCACCCGCACTGTTCACTCACTCCAAAAGGGCCTTGACCACCAAGCTTTGTCAACCTGCTACACTCCTGACAAGTGTGTGCAGCTGGTGCTCAAGCCAGTGGAAAGCTGCAGTGACTGGCTCCACCTTCATTTTCAAACTAGATGTATCATATGCTAGACTTTGTTGCACCGAGTGACGTCTGTTTGATTTTGCTATGAACCCCAATGTATTTCTTCTGCTTCTCTTACCTATCAACCTATTAGCCATCTCCTTGTAGGATGCAATTTTTCTTTATTTTGAAGCCCCACACTGGCTTTTGCCAGAGGCCACAATACAGCCCGACCATAAATATGCCATAATGGCTGAGCGTGGTTTCCGGGACCTCTACATGGGTGATGCTCATCCACATGGTGGCACTTTGTGTCATCGGGTGTTTATCGCTTGTGTGCTGTCCTAGTGGAGTAAAATGTACTACTACTACTACTACTAAATTCTGCTTTTCAACAAAGCCATCTGTATAGACAATCACATCATCTGGACGGGAACTGTCACAAATCAGTTGTTGAATGTCCGATTCTGAAGTTCCTGCTGGCCAGTCTCTGTTCTCTTAGCCCAGTGGGACACTGATTTTAAACTGTCTACTTCTGCTCCTTTCTCCTGGTTGTCATCATAGACACTGTCAATGCAACTGGCAGACTTTTGGGGGTGTATCCAATGGGATAATGTTTACCGGTGACTCTCTGATGACTTTTTAGTCAGGCAGGTTCCAGAGTGAGAATGGAGATTGAGGCTGTCACTGTAACCAAGAGATGGCTCCTGATCTGTTCAGTACTCAATATGGTCACTGTTTTGGAATCTCAGACTATATTCTGAGACATTCTGAATAAATAGCAACGAATAGCTACTTTTAGTGGCTGAAAACCTTTTGGAATTTGTGTGGACCTGTTGTAGTGGTTGTGTGTAGGTGTATGATAACTAGAGAGCTGTGTATAAATCTGTTATAGCAGGTATAGATTGTGTGAGCATAACTTATAGTCTGTGAACATGACTTTCATGTTAATCTTAACCATGAATTAAGCAAACACTGACCTCTACATAATTACTTGGGAAGATTCCAACTTGGCCATGGTGCTCTCCCTCAAACCAGTTTTTATCTATCTGGTGAAGCAGGTAGAGTACATCGCCCTTCCTGAACGACAGCTCTCTACAACAAATTACAATCAAAGCATTTAGCCAGGATCTCACAAACGAAGATACTGGTGAGTTTAAAATGTTAACAAACACAAACAAAATGGCAAAGTATAACACACACACACACACTAGGGACTAACAAAATGGCAATGTATAACACACACGCGCATAGGGGCAAACAAAATGGCAATGTATAACATACACGTGCACTAGGAACAAACAAAATGGCAATGTATAACACACGCACTAGGGACAAACAAAATGGCAATGTATAACACACGCACTAGGGACAAACAAAATGGCAATGCATAACACACGCACTAGGGACAAACAAAATTGCAATGTATAACACACACACACTAGGGACAAATAAATTGCAATGTATAACCCACACACACACACGCACTAGGGAGAAACAAAATGGCAATGTATAACACACGCACTAGGGACAAACAAAATTGCAATGTATAACACACACACATTAGGGACAAATAAATTGCAATGTATAACCCACACACACACACTAGGGACAAACAAAATTGCAATGTATAATACACATACACTAGGGACAAATAAATTGCAATGTATAACCCACACACACACACACACTAGGGACAAACAAAATGGCAATGTATAACACACACAAGCATTAGGGACAAACAAAATTGCAATGTATAACACACACACTAGGGACAAATAAATTGCAATGTATAACCCACACACACTAGGGACAAATAAATTGCAATGTATAACCCACACACACACTAGGGACAAACAAAATGACAACGTATAACACACGCACTAGGGTCAAACAAGATGGTAATGTATAACACACATACACTAGGGACAAACAAGATGGTAATGTATAACACACACATACTAGGGTCATTCAAAATGGCAATGTGTAACACACACATACTAGGGTCAAACAAGATGGTAATGTATAACACACATACACTAGGGACAAACAAGATGGTAATGTATAACACACATACACTAGGGACCAACAAAATGGCAATGTATAACACACATACACTAGGGACAAACAAGATTGTAATGTATAACACACATACACTAGGGACCAACAAAATGGCAATGTATAACACACATACACTAGGGACAAACAAGATTGTAATGTATAACACACACATACTAGGGTCAAACAAAATGGCAATGTATAACACACACGTACTAGGGTCAAACAAGATGGTAATGTATAACACACATACACTAGGGACAAACAAAATGGTAATGTACAACACACACATACTAGGGTCAAACAAGATGGTAATGTATAACACTACACACAAACACACTAGGGTCAAACAAGATGGCAATGTATAACACATAAACACACTAGGGTCAAACAAGATGGCAATGTATAACACACACACACGTATGCAAGGAACAAACAAAATGGCAATGTATTACACACACACACACACGTATGCAAGGGACAAACAAAATGGCAATGTATAACACACATGTATGCAAGGAACAAACAAAATGGCAATGTATTACACACACACACACGTATGCGAGGGACAAACAAAATAGCAATGTATAACACACATGTATGCAAGGGACAAACAAAATGGCAATGCATAACACACACACGTATGCAAGGCACAAACAAAATGGCGGGGGGGGGGGGGGGGAATGGCAATGTATAACACACACACGTATGCAGCGGACAAACAAAATAGCAATGTATAACACACATGTATGCAAGGGACAAACAAAATGGCAAGGGTGGGGGGGAATGGCAATGCATAACACACACGTATGCAAGGGACAAACAAAATAGCAATGTATAACACACATGTATGCAAGGGACAAACAAAATGGCAATGCATAACACATACACGTATGCAAGGCACAAACAAAATGGCAAGGGAGGGGGGGGGAATGGCAATGTATAACACACACACGTATGCAGCGGACAAACAAAATAGCAATGTATAACACACATGTATGCAAGGGACAAACAAAATGGCAGGGGGGGGGGGGGGGAATGGCAATGCATAACACACACGTATGCAAGGGACAAACAAAATAGCAATGTATAACACACATGTATGCAAGGGACAAACAAAATGGCAATGCATAACACATACACGTATGCAAGGCACAAACAAAATGGCAAGGGAGGGGGGGGGGGAGGGGAATGGCAATGTATAACACACACACGTATGCAACGGACAAACAAAATGTCAATGTAGCTGAGAGTACGTATAAATTACCTCGGGTTCTGGGCGGTGAAGTTGAACAGTGCTTTAGCTTTGCCCTGTATCTGAAAGCCTCGTCTTCTTTCTGGCGGCACACTCATGGTGGCTAGCTTGCTGGTCTGCATGTTTGGTGATCGTTGTGGCTGAGGTGACAAGGTCTGCCGTGATGAGTCTAAATCATCAAAGCGGTTTGGGGAGATGGGCGACTTCTGCGTGGGACTGAACATGAAATGATTGTTTCAATAACAGTTTTAAAAGTATGAGGTTAAGACCTAAACAGAACACTAAAAAAAAAAAATTTCACACACTCCTCACCAATTTCATCTTCTTCCGTTCACTGGCTGTAAACTCTGACAGAAAGTTCTAGTTGTTCATCCATCTCTGGACTTTAGACTTGTTTCAAGCCTGAGTTGTGTGCACATGAATTTTACAGATCTGACTTATTTGTATGTAGACCGTTGGTTCCTTGCCTCTCAGGCAAATGCACTCCAACTTCGAAGGAAATATCCAATTAGTCGACTCTTACAACACGCTTGCTGGGGACTCAGTGGCTGTAATCTTGTTTTCCCAACATTAGGGGTGCGGGACCCCCACAGGGAGCCTCCCCAGTGAGTGTCAACTGGTGCATGAAAATGAAGGCATTCTAGCCTTTTATGTCCGACCCAACAGTGGTGTGAAAAGAGTACTTTTACTTTCTCTACTCCAATGAGAAGAACAGGTGATAATAAACAGAAATGACTCTAAACCTGAGGATTTAGGGCCCCATAGCTAGCTCCGTCACTACGGACTGTAACAGGTTAGGATTTTGATTTTGTCCTGGATAGAAAAACACCCCCAACCTTACAGAGTATTTGAAACTCGGTCTTCCCAGTGAGAGCCCTAAGGTGTTAACCATTCAACCAGCCACTCTTCAATGTAACCACTTACGTAAAATAATCATGATGTTTTCTGGCAGCCTCCCTCTCGGCATCTACTTGCATACGCTTTCGCCTTTCTTCCTCATACAGTTCCTCCTGTTGAACCAATCAGAAAATTAAAGATGACAAATGGACAACACAAGCTCTGTAACTGCTCTGAGCTTACATATAAAACACAATCAGCAACAATTTAATCAAAACTAACAGAAAAACGAGGCCACAAATACAAAAATAGGAACTGCTAAAGTAAAAAAAAAGCACCAAAAAAACTAACAATTTTTTTTTTCTTTAAATAAAACTAGAATTACAAACTGAGGTCAAAGTTCCTCAGACAAGATGGTCACCTATAGTTTGTCTTTTGTTCTGAAGGTCATGGATTCATTCAGTTCACAAGTGAAATGTTTGATCACTGCTGAAGCTATGCAGTTTCTGCTTCCTGTAATGTCTCAGCAGCTGGCCAGCAGCCACTCTAGGGAGAGGTCAAGCCATATGGAATACAACTCAGTGCCATGAAGTCCATCTTTTCACTGTTGAATCTACATTTATTTAACCAAGATTCAACATGTACAATACTCTGATTATAATAATTGACGAAATAACACTGTGAAGAACATGCTAGTAGAACAGATCAAAGACAGGAAATGGCAACCATTCAACTGGGAAAATGGCATCAGATGATCAGGGTAGAGCAACCACTATCATCAGAGTTAGAAACTGCTGAAAATTTACTGCAGCCCACCACTAATGTGAACATGCAACTTAACTCATCTCTCTGTATGTGTGTGTGTGTGTGTGAAAGAGAGCTTGTGAATGCATGTGAGCGCGTGTGTGTGGCAGTATCAGAATCATCACCACATAAAATATGTCTACTTTCAAAATATAAATTTAGTTGTCATTTTACTGCAGCGTCAATGACCCAGACTTAGAATCTATCTACTGCTTGTAGACAAATTATACAAACAACGTTGCTGTAAGTTTCTTTAACCTACCAATCTCTTCTTTCTGTAAGCCTCATCCTCTTCTTTTCTCTTTTTCTCTCTTTCATCAACTGGCAAGCTTTTTCTAATGGTATCTGACGTCTGATGACGAAAATCTGGCAATCAGAAACGGATTTCAGCAAATATCAACAATTGTGGCAAATCCATAAGATCAGTTCAACAATACATCAGTACTACACAACAATATTATAGCTATCTAACTACAAATATTGTATAAATATAGCTCAATCCATGCTTTACAAAATACAGGCTTTAAGATCTACTGAACAAATTCAGCAACAGTAACAAGAGCACTCTTACCAGACAGGGCAAACTTTTAGATATCTGTTACCTTTGTTTGAAATGTACATGCAATTAAGCCACACAATGTATGCATTACAATAAAAACAATGTTTGAAACTAAATAAAATAAATTGCGTCCTTAAATAATAATGTGAACAATGTGTTTAATATAAGGAACACAATGACTTCAAAACATGAAGTTTAAACAATCTATGTATCCCAAGATATCTTAACAGACTAAATCAAAATTACAGTTCTAAAAGAAATAAATCGAAATTAGGTCTTTAAAAAATAAACCTACACAGTGTCTCAGAAACTAAACAATCTTTTAAAAAGAAAATAAATCTAAACAATTTTATTAAAAGAAATCTAAGCAATATCCTTGTAACAAAGAAATCTAAACAATGTCTTACTTGTTTAAAAATTAATATATAAATAATTTAAAAGCTTTCAAATAAAAAAAAACAATCTAAATAATGTATGTAAAATCAAGAAATGTAAATATTATATTTAAAGGAAAGTAATCTAAACAATATCTGAACAGAAAATAAATATAAACAATATCTGAACAGAAATAAATATTAACTATGTCTTTAAAGAAAACACATTTAAACAATAGCTTTGAACTTTAAAAAAAAAAAAGGGTTAATAATGTATGCAAAATCAAGAAATGTAAACATTATATTTAAAAGAAAGAAATCTAAACAATATCTTTACAGTAAAGAAATCTAAAAAAAAAAAAATGTCTTCAAAGCAGATAAATTGAACTAATACCTCTCAAAAATAAAAATCTAATGGTGTCTTCAAAATAAAATAAAAAATCCAAACAATATAATTGGGAAAGAAATCAAACGATATGAATACAAAGAAGCAGAATAAAATAAAATAATTGTTTAGAAAGCAAAGCAAACTGCTGTTAAATTCTACTGGCAATGGCCCTTCAAAATCTGACTACTGGTCAATATATGTCAGGCTCAGACTACTGGTCAATATATGTCAGGCTCAGACTACTGGTCAATATATGTCAGGCTCAGACTACTGGTCAATATATGTCAGGCTCAGACTACTGGTCAATATATGTCAGGCTCAGACTACTGGTCAATATATGTCAGGCGCAGACTACTGGTCAATATATGTCAGGCTCAGACTACTGGTCAATATATGTCAGGCGCAGACTACTGGTCAATATATGTCAGGCTCAGACTACTGGTCAATATATGTCAGGCTCAGACTACTGGTCAATATATGTCAGGCTCAGACTACTGGTCAATATATGTCAGGCTCAGACTACTGGTCAATATATGTCAGGCTCAGACTACAGGTCAATATATGTCAGGCTCAGACTACTGGTCAATTTATGTCAGGCTCAGACTACTGGTCAAAATATGTCAGGCTCAGGGATCGAAAGAACAAACACATTAACTTTTTTCAAAGGGTTAAGAAACAAGGCTGCTGATACAAATATGTTAGAAACATGTCCAAATATCATCAGTCATGATATGCCACCTCAAATGATCATCAGTCTGAGATCAGGCATATGTTATTGTCCCTAGTATCTCATGTGATCAAGCCATTCTGGCAATATCTTTCTGACAACCTTTTCCCACTAAACTGTAAAACAACATGTCAAATAAAGTGTTTCTGCTTTTACTTTATTTAGGTGACAAATTTATATTCTGCTTTTTGCTTACTTATATTCTTGCTTTAAATATATCTGCGTCTTGAAAGAGTGTCTCATTTATTGTTTGTTCCGTTCAGGTTACCACATTTTCACTGCCTTTAGATTTTTCTGTTATTGTCTGCTGATTATCTATGTTTCACGCACGCATGCACGCACACACGCACACACACACACATATATATATATAGAGAGAGAGAGAGAGAAAGAGAGCCTTTAACACTTTTTTCTCCCTACAACTGAAAGCTTGGGCATTTCAAATTAAATGCCTCAAAGTTAACTAAATCAAGCAAGCTGCAAACCTGGCCAACAAAATATACTGTCTAAAGTTGCAACAGGGGCCGTTACTCTTGTAAGTTCTATCAACAAGAAACACAACTGTAGCTGATGTGTTATAATTAAGTACATAAAAACTGTTAGTATGTAAGCAATTTATACCTCTTGAATATCAATAAACTGATGCTGATGTTGCTAGCAAGGACAAGGGCAGCTATTTACATGGGCTTGTTTATATACCACTAACAAAATGATGCTTAAGTCAAATCATGTGGTGGTGTAGTGACTCATGCATTAGTCTCTATGGAGGGTTCAAACCCCTTCTCCGTGGGTACAATCAAAGTTGTTCCCTCGTGGAATGGAATTTTGTGTTATTTTGAAGCCCCACCCTGGCTTCTGCTGGCGGCCCTGAATATAGCCGGCGCAGAGATATGGCTTAACGGCTGAAAGGGATTTCCATGAGTGATCCTCATCTACATGGTGGCACTTTTTGTCACTGGGTGTTTATCACTTGTGTGATGTCCTGGTGGGGTACAATTACCTACCGTCTAGTGTGGGGACTAGATCCATAAGCATATAACCATAGGGTTCACTGTTCCATCAGTTTCGTGGTATGGGTACCAAGAAAGGTTCTTGCAAGTCAATGCTGACCACATTCAATCTCATGACACACTAATACATCTTTTTGTACACATCCTTAAACATCTCTCTGCAGATGTGAAATTTAGTTCAAATCTTATACATCCTGCCAATGTATGAGCTTTGGAGAGGGAAATGAGAATTCTGCGAAACATTTCCTACAGAGATGGTAGTTTAGTACCAGTTTGGGAGAAAAGACTTGTATAATTATTATTCAATGCTCACTGTAAAACGATCCAAGTGAGTTTCAGAGGTTAGATGACTTGACTGTATACTATATTCCTTATCTAGATGTTGATGACACCACCGAGCTACATGTTGATGACACCATCAGTACTCTAATTATACCTTTCTTTGAGACTGAAAAAGATATCTGGCTTTTGCCCTGTTGAACTACCATCCAGGATGTGATTCTTGCTTTAACTCTTTGAGTCCCAGGGGGTTTAGCATCACAGGCCCAAGGGGTAGTTAAGAGAGATTTAAATTCGGCGCATCATGCATTTATTGGGCTTCTAGGTAGGAATCTATGAACATATGACGTGTTCTTTGGGACTCAAAGAGTTAAGTTGTAGGTGTGGTCAAATCATTAGGTAGCAGCCCAGACAGGGACAACAGATAGACAGACAGACCTTAATTTCAATATACTGGACATGAGAGTTAAATTTTAAAATTCTTCTGTACAATCAAAGCTATAAGCTCTTATTAGTTTGTCCTTTCTTCTGCACTAACTGCTCAGGATAACAGTGTATACCTGATTTGTGTTAACAATTTCTACACTTATATTAGCAAGCTTCATGTAATTTTAACAGTTAATCTGCCCCCCCCCCCCCCCCCCCCCCCCCCCCCCCCCCCCAATGTTAACGTGCCCTATAAGGTGTGTAGTAAATGGGTAAATAAAGTACAAGAACAAAAAAGATTATGATTAGTAAGTCCCTGTAAAGCACACATGTGTTAGCTGCATAAGTGTTCAGAAACAAAGCACTCATCACCCAGTTATGACTACACTAACAAAGCATGGTAGCAAATTGGGAAGTAATGATTACAAAAGCTATAAAATATAAAATAAATCCCACACAAAGATGCTGTAGAGGAACTGTATAAAAAATCAAAGCAACAAAAGAAGGAATTGCTCTAGTCTAGTCAGCAGATTAATGTCAGTGACAGCAAGCAGGTCCACACCACAGACAGGGAGATGCTAGCAGCTGCTGGGTTATATTGGGATACCTTTGGGAGAAACTCTGTGTCCGGAGGGTGGGGATTTGACCCCTAGCTGTTGGGCGGCAGTTGCTCGGTTACGGTCTCTCCAGCTGTCCAAAACACCACCAGATCCACCCCCAAATGAGTTACTACTATGTCTCTGAGGAGGAATGGGGGCAGTGGTGGGGCCATCATGTGAATCACGAGTAGGGATGTGTGTCTGAGGGCCTCTGTAAGGGGACGGACTTTCAAACAGCTGTGTTTTCTGGATCACTTTTGGGTTAGAGCCATATAATCCCTGAAAGTTTCCTTGTGGGCGGTTACTTATGGGCTGACTGTCATTTCTTCCATGCTGAGGTGGACTTCTAGTACCATAAAGCTGGTCATAACTTCCTACCAGTCCTCGGCTAATTCCAGGTGGAGCTGTTGGAGAAGTCTGGTGGTCACCTCTGCTGGAGTCAAATAGAGCTGGACTACTAGCATAGAGAGAATTCTGATGTTCACTGCTTCGGCCTTGCTGTCTGCTCGCTCTGGGGGATTGTTGGCTGTCAACTCTCTCATCAGAGGCAGGGAAGTTGAGGACAGCAAAGCGGGGAGGAAGAGGTGGTACATGTGGCCTTATCTCAGCATCCCTTCCCTGGGATACTTGCGTATACCTAGCAGGTTGGATGTTTTCCTTCATAGGCTGACTTGGCAGCGTTTCTTTCCGGGGGTCACGGTAAGCCTGATCCCTGGCCTGGTGAGTCCTTGGCAAAGTAGAGAGTCCCTCAGCAGGAGCAGGCTGTCTTTTTAAGGTGGGATAGTTGCTATCAGGAGGGGAGTACAGGGAGGGGCTGGAGGCAGACAGGGAGGCAGATACTGCAAACGAATTCATGGAGGCAGAGGAGGGAGGTGGGGGTATTGCTGGAGGCTGCTGCTCTTCACGTTCTAGAGAACAGAATCAAGCATGCAAGCTGGTCAAATTTGGGAGGCAAATCAAAACGCACACACACATGAAAATAAATCAACACACAAAACTGGTTCTTTTTTAAAGAAAAGTCAGAAACAGGCAACACTCCTGTAATTAAAATTACAATTCTTCACATGGGCATATCTTCAACTTTCTCAAATACACATGTTTTAACTAAAATATTACTGTTAAATCTAAAATAAATCAATGTCACTTTAAAAAAAAAATAGTTTATAACACATTTACTTCAGAACTGTTTGCATCTACACTGAATTACTGTGTGTGTTTGTGCTTTTTCTTTCTGAGTTTTAAACTGAATAGTATGTCACTGTATGAATCCCAAACATATCCATGTCAAAGGCAGTCACAGACACAATGTGTCAAGTCAATGATCTAAAACAAATGACTGTATATCCAGTCTAAAATGATCATTCTATCTCTCCCCGCCCCCTCCCCTTGTTTTTTTTTTTAAATAGTGTGGTTACATATTAACTCTGGGGGATACTTCAAGCCATTTTCTAAAGCTAAAATCTTTATCAGATAGTTGGCAAACGTGGAAAACTGGACGTAGTGTTGCCACATCAACATCAGGCAGGTTTTGTTTCATGCTGAGAAATTTATGGCTCTACATTTCTGTAAGATTTCACTGTCAATACTATGACTACCTCTTTATGTTCAATAAACTGAACTTTTTGCATGGTTCTGGTATCTATGCTACTAAGAGTCAAAGAATAGAAGTGGTTTCACACCAGAAATTTAAAGGAAATATAGTAGGTTTGCCTCAAATAAAGGTCTACAGTACTAGAAAAATATCAACAAGGCAACTGAGGGCAGTCTATAGCAACAAAGGAGACAATCCACGCGGCAAAAACTGCATGCATCAAACATTTCTTAACTGCATCTCTGAACAAACAAATGAACGCACACTGAGATGAACATAAGTGTTAAGTTTATCTCTCTCTACACATACATACACTCTTGAATCCCCTCACCCCTCAACCCTTCCACCACAACCCAGAAAAAAAAGATCAAACCACGATTAAAGCAGCAACTGATGATTTGATTTGATGTTGCGGTTATGTAAGATTTTATATGCCACTATATTCTCCCAAATAAGTTGTTGAGAGACGTACAGTATGAGTACAATATGCCTTATTCCGTTTGCTGATCACTTCAGTAAGTTGACAGGTTTTCTACAATACTTTGGGTGGTCAACTTCCAGCGGGTCGGTAATTTTTACGATGGTCTCCCCATTTGCACACCACCGGTTGTAGGTCAACTCTATTGATAAGTTGGTTGGACTAGTCTACCGTGGTCGAGGTTATAGGTGTCGCAGTCTGTTGTCTGGTATTTACGCTTTTTTTTTCACTCTCCAGAAGAAAGAGGTCCTTTTCTTTGTGTATCTCTTGTACACCCATTATAAACTCACACATAAGAACCATGCAGGGTCAGGTCACGGAAAGTTCGACAATGCGATGCAAGGAGAGTAAAATGGGAGAGGGGGGGGGGGGTGCGTGTGTATGTGTATGTGTGTTTGAAAATCAGAATGGAAAAACAATAAGAAAGAAAGAAAAAAAAATGAAAGAAAGAGGTCCTTTTATTTTTGTTGACTCCGAGATTTTGTGGGGAAAATTCAGGGAAAGTCCAAAAGTATAGGGGTGGTAGGGTGTGAATTCAATACCGACTAACACTACCCCCCTCCCCCCGCATACTGGACTCTCCCAGGAATTTCCCATAAAATCTCTGCGTCGCCGAGGTGGTATTAAAAGAATGGTAACAAGAACGGAAAGAAAGAAAGAAAAAGAAAGAAAAAAAGAAAGAAAGAAAGAAAGAAAGAAAGAAAGAAAGAAAGAAAGAAAGAAAGAAAGAAAGAAAGAAAGAAAGAAAGAAAGAAAGAAAGAAAGAAAGAAAGAAAGAAACAGAAAGAAGGCAGACAAACCAAAAAGAGTATATGGACAGGTAGGAAGAAAAACAAATAAACTGAGAGAGAGAGAGAGAGAGAGAGAGAGAGAGAGAGAGAGAGAGAGAGAGAGAGAGAGAGAGAGAGAGAAAAACAAAAAAAAAGACAGAGGGGGGGGGGGCAACATCAGTAGTACCGGAGACATGTCGACGGGGGTGGGGGGGGGGGGGGGGGGGGGGGGGGGGGGGGGGTAATGCAGGCGGGACTGGAATGGTTTCACAGGAGACGATCAGCGGTGGAACTTATCGCGAACACCGAGTGCATGTTTTATCGAAACCCCTGATTGTCCGCGCTGATCGGCATGGCATACGATGATGATACATATACAGACAGGTTAAAGTATTTAAAACATAATGCAAAGGTATCATTATGTTAGAATTTTGTGAGAGATATGGATTCAAAAATCTCGGTAATGTCATTGGGGGAGGGGGGTCATCTCTGACGGGGCCAAAAATAAAGACAACCTGCAGTAAAGTCTGTGGCGACTGCAATAGCTATGGGGCCCTTAATCCACAGGCCCAGTGGACCCCCCCCCCCTCCCCCAATTACACCGCCCTAAATTTGGTACACTCAGGCAGTAATGGCAGTTTTTAAAGATGATGTCGCACCATGCTGATTGTTAGCATATGGTTAAAAAAAAAAGTAAGGCGGAGGATATGTGTCACTTCTTTATGACATACATCCACATTATAGACAATCGGTACTCGAGGGGTGATATGGTCAACAGTCCGCCTTTACTTCTCAGAACACTGTCTCTTAGCCATTTCATTCCAGGCTGGGTCGATGTGGAAGCCGATGCTGATTTCTAAAAGAAAACCTGCTTCGACGGAGGGTTCGAATCGACGACCCTCGTGCTCAGGCTGGTGCTACAGTGGCACCCGATGTGACGCTAGTGTTTATTATTATTATTATTATTATGTTACTGGTGTTAACGGACTGTAAACTCTGGCGGAAAGTTCTAGTTAAAATACGATATTACCCCAGCTCGGTGGCTGGGTTTGTGATGGCTTAAAGCGACTTCATGTGTCAGGCTAAAGGTTAATTAACTCTCCCTCAGAGATGTACCGGATAACTGTGCATGTGACACGTGTACTGGAAATCTAGACATTACATGGAGGAAGCAGACGACAGAAAAAGCTTCACAAAGGAAAACTGACTGACTTGGGCAGAAGGCTAGGAGATTATGGACATACCTTGTTCTTGTACCCAATCTGAGGTAATCTGAGATCTTCCAGGGACTGACTTCCGTTTGGCTGAAGTCAGGTCTACAGATATCCCTGACCTTGGCATTGGTTTCACTATTTCCCGCGGTTTTTCCAGCAATATGATGTTTGTTGGAACACCTTTACTTGCCCGAGTGCGCGCGTCTTGAAGGTGGTCAGCTGCTAAATCTACACTGTTTCTGTGATCAGACAATCCAATGTCTAGTGATCTATCACTGCTATTTGCCGTCCTTTGTGTGGTTATGCTGCCTATGTTTAGAGTGTTTTTACCTGTAACGTTGTTAGAAGCAGGCCCGTGTTTCTGAGGAATATCTGCTGATAGAACAGAGTCTGAAAGCGTTAAGTGTTTGTGTGGAACATCTGAGGATATGACTGAGCTGGCCCCCCAGTGGGAATGTTGGTAACTGACTGCGTGCACGGTGTCAGCATCGGTACCCTGGGAACTTGAGAGTGTTTCACGATAGTTTGGCGACACTTTCTGATCTTGATGTTTGGCCAGTGATATCACGCTCCTGTGTGAACTTTCTTCTTTTCTGTTTGAGTTAGAGACAGAACTTTCTTCTTGTCGCAATTTCATGTCATCGGTATGGTGGTGTTTATAACTGCTTTTCACAAATGGTTCTGCTCGTACTTTGAGGTGAGTGTATTCGGTGCCTTCGCCATTTGCTGGTGGCTGCCCATTACCAGAATAATGACTGACATTTTCAGAATCACGACTGCGTCTGTTGACTATGCCAGTTTGCCATTCCGCTGCAATATGATCAAAGTACTCTAATGTCATCCTGCCCACACTAGATGGAGAATGGGACTTTTTGCGAGGAATGTCTAGCTTCCTGCCTTCCTTGAAACTCTCCACCTCCTTGTAGATGTCGTCTGGTGGGATATATGGGTCGTATCGGGTGCTAGTGGCCACATGAGGAAGTGAAGGCCAAGACAGCAGCTTCCCTGTCTCTTCACTGACAGCTTTCGGTAGCGAGCTCTCCGACTTGAAATGTGAATCTGCGTAAGGCCGAACTGTTTGTACGTCTGCTGCAAGACTGCTTGGGGTATCTTTTCTGGAATAAGCCTTTACGTGCACACCATGTAACCGATGTTGCATTTCTGGTAGGTTTCTGGATGCAGTTACTTTCACACCTACTTCTACGGATGTATGTCTGTAGCCGTCCTTCGGATACAACTGTCCAGATAAGTCTGGTGCAGATTTAGCTCTTGACAAAGACGTTGCTGAGCTCTTGGCTTTCTGCTCGAATACACTTTTCAGCTGCATTACAGAAGCCTTAGTGCTTTGCTGACAGTACCGAGTCAGTGGCGTACTACTCTTGATGGATGCAGGGCTGTTTGTAAGCTGTTGCACTGGCTTTTGGTAGTGCTGATAGATTTCTGTTTGGTAAAAACCGTCTATTTGTGTTCCCGGGTAGAAGCTGACTGATCGATGTCCAGTATTATGCTGTCTTATTTCTGGAACATTCGAGTCATTGGCAACATTCTTAGATATAGGGACATGGTGAGCAGCTGTAGGAAACTGGTGGTTGCTGTGACTAGCGTTTCTGGAATGAAAATCATCACGTGTCGGTTCAACGGTACCACCGCTCATAGAGAATCTGGCCTCGTCGTCGCTGTGGTTAACTATGAAAGTGCCTGTGCTTCCATCAGAGGACAGTGTGGGGCTTGGAGAACTATCCACCTCCTGCTGATTAGATATCTCAGAGATGTCTTCCCACTTTCCCAGCGGTGTTCTGTCACTGTTTGAGACGCCTTCCTCTGGCGCGGATTCTAGTGCCTCGATACTGACAGCGGGAATTGCAACTGTGTGATTTTCTGATCCACGTACTGCTTTAGCTGTCTCCACATTTGCCATGGGCTGAGTTTTAGAGTGCCTGTGTCTCGCAGGGGATGCAGTCTTCGTGTTTATGCGTGTAGTCTCAAAATCTATCTCTTTGAGATCTAGTCCTCTAGCGCCTCGTGTCTGTGGCTCAAACTGGAAGTTTTCAGATGCTGACAAAGAGCTGCCGGTGTGTTTTCTGGGCAATGGCTTTGGCGGCAAAAGTGCTTCATGGTTAGACGAAACGTGACGATCAACCTGGGACTGCACTGACCAAATACCAGTTACAGATTTTGCTGATTTATCTACTGCAGGCGACTGCGGTAATGTCATTCTTGATAATTTATTCATAGAAAATTCGTTATTTTCAGCCAGCCCTCGCAGATCTGTGACTTTAAAAGAGTTAAACCCGACGTTAGTCTTCGGTTGCTGCAGCTTTTCGCTGGAGGTCTTGGAGAGCTTATCAGCGTTGTAGATGGTCGGCCCCTCCTGGTGGGCTCTGAGTGTACCATCTGTGAAGCGTTTCCTGGCAACATCCTCGTCTTCCTTCTGTACCACGTCGGACATGCTCTTAGCCCAGGATACAGAATAACTGAGGTTCCCTATTATAGAGTAGCTGTCATCGCTGTCTTCGTTATTCGGTATCAATGTTGCTGTGCTTGTAGGATGCGAGATAGTTCTAGCCTTAAAGCTTCCACTGTTCGCTTCAATGTGTTTTTCTGGTCTGGTCAAAGGGATTTTGGATGATTTGTTTCCAGTGCTTAATTTGGGGATGGTTTTCTTGATATCTTGATAAAGCAGGGATCCTGCTTCATCATCGAGTCTCTCATCTGTATCCCCGAACGTAGGGGAAAACGGATCTTCTAGCTGAGGGCTTGTAGGGACGTGCGATCGATACTCCTGTAACATTCTGTCAACTGAGGACGCCATCGACTCTGTATCTGCGGACTTTTGTAACTCCGATGAGCTACCGAATTCAAAAGGATATGCATTATACAATCTAGAATCAGTATTGATGACTGGGGTATATGGCTGGAAATGTACAGGTTCCGGGTCGTTGACGTAACTGTGGATGTATCCCTTCCTGGCCAGACGTTCCCTGCGAGCCCTAGCCAACAAATCCTTATACTGACTAGTGTTACGATTGCTGGCATGTGTGTTGCTGGGATTCGCCAGGGAACCGTTAGGTTCGGCATGCTCACTCAGAAGTCGTGGCCGCCTTGAATGTGACAGTTTCTCAGTGGCAGTAAAACTGGGAATATGCTGTTCTTTCTTCGACAAGTCCGTGGCCCGGCTTTCCTTCTGCGGTGACTTTCTTGCTGAGGTAGATTCTAGGTGCTTGGTGAATACATCTTTTGAACGAGATCTGGTACGACAGTATACTTCCTCTGCAGAACCATCTTCCTTTGCCTGGTGAACACTGGTTGAGTGTTTCGTTGTTGACTTCTTGTTACCAACAGGTAATACATGACCATGTTCTAAGTTACCCATTTTCCTATCTTTGATGTCACAAGATGCACCGGGTTGTGAATCACTGTATTCTCTAGTCGAGTGATTACTTTCGGACTCCTGCTTATCTGCCTTTTCTGAACCTACTTTGTCATTAGCCACATGTGTAGACGATGCAGCAACTTGTGGCTGAAGAAACTGGGTGGGTGTTCCTACAGCAGGTTGGTGATCCTGTACATGATATTCAGCCCCGAAAAACGTGTCCTTGGAGGAGTTAGTTCTCTGCAGGGCACCACCAGCTAGCGCCATCTGTAGAGAAGCGGCGGCATAAGGAGCAGATACTGAGCGAATGTGCAGACCATCTGCATCATCCTGGGTGGTCTTCTGAGAGATGAAATCGGGAACTTCTATTTCGTAAGGACTGGTGCTCACTGTAGACATGGAGATATGTGTGGACAGTGTTGTCTGCTCTTGTCTCGCGTTATGGCGCGGCAAATACTGAGCTGCCTGTATGCTCATCTGGGAAGATGGATGACTAGTATAGTGTGCTGAGTTACTTCTTTGCTTAGCGTCTTGGTAGGACGGTAATGTTTCTAAAGATGAGGCAAGCAACTGATCGTCCTCATGATCGCGAAATGTATCTACGCTGGTATACTCATGAGGCTGTGTGCAACTAATCTCTAATTGCACACCAGAGGAAGATTTGGAATTTCTAAAATAAGTAAACGTATCATTGCTACTTGGAGAAGACAGTTGTTGGTGATACTGAGATATGACCGGTGTGGATGTTGGCAGTACCTGACCGGGGGTAACACAAGTCCGCCTTAACAAGCTGAGTTCTGTTGTGGGGCTGACTTTATCGGTGTCACTGAGTTCACTGGTTGGAACATGTGGTTTGGGCTCTGACTGTTTTTCTGTACTGCCGGTGACAGTTTTATGTGTATGCTGCGTTGATAATAATTCATCGAATGGTTTTACGGAGGGTGTTTTTGTGAAACGGTCGTCATACCTCGAGTAAATATCACCAAAAGAAACAGATCTTTTCATGCTATTACTAGAGTTTTCAAGTAAATGATGCGTGGGTTCTTCTGCCATCTTTATAGCCTGCTGGTATTTTTGAAGCCGTTCTGCGACACCAGCAGATCTCTGAAGTTCTCGGTCTTTGTCTGGCCGCCAATAAAATTTGGCGTCACTAGCGCTAGAAAAAAATTCTTTCTTTTTCTGAGCTTCTTCCAAGTGAGAGCGTAGTTCACTCATTTCTTCGCTGGTTTCCTTCTGTTCTAACTCAGAATACGCTTGTTTCTTCTGAAACTCCGGCGGACTCTTGCCACTGTTAAGTGCTCTGTTTACATGCTGATATAGCTCTGATACCCGGCCTAAAACAATAAAGTTTCTTTGCAGCTTGAGGAATTTCTCAGATCTTCCAGAAGAGTGTAAAATCCCAGCAGCGTATGACTGGTATATATGAGGGTCCAGCCTAGAGGGTCGGTCACTTGTAGTGCTTAACGATCCTTTCCGAGAATAGGAATTCCCCCAAAGAGACCTTAGCTGTGGAGCGGTTTCCGATCGCTTAAGTCCCATTAGAATAACCCGTTCTTCGGGATTCATTATATCAGCATCTGTGGGATCATCCGCTTGGACAAGCGGATCACCAGGCGCTGGACTGCCTCTCCGACCTTCCTCGGAAGGTAATACCTTCTGCGGGTCCTCTATCTGTTCACTGGTGTTCGAACTAGGAACAAGCGATGAAAAACTTGTGACTTCTTCTGTGAAGTCCTCTGTAGATCTACCTCTGGCATGAGCAAACGGCCAGGGTTGGTTATATCTTTTCTCATATGACGAACGTGCATAATAAGAAGGGCTTCCCGTGTTGTCGGTATGCTGATGGGGGTTAGTATCACTGGCATCATTGTGATGACTAGAATATTCTCGGCCATCGGAATCTGACGAGGTGCTGTCATCCAGACGACGACTGTAACCTAAATGGGAATTTTCCTTCGCCATAAGGAAATCATCGTAAGCCGATGTCTGCCACGCGGGGACAGCCATCACAGATGTTTGAGTCGTTGGCTAAATTTCGGATTCCTTGTGTTATATTAGACCCCTGCTGATGCCACCGAGTATAATTATTTTGCTGCACAGAACGTCACATGGTTACACATGACTTACCTAGTAACCATGGTAACTAAAAAAATTTAAAAAATAAAAAAACACACGCGTCATTGTCACAGTTTTGGTACGAAACTAAATTGTTTAGTTATATGCTTGGAATGTAATATTGCTTGATAAGTCTTGCAAATGATATCACTTGGGTCTGAAACAAGAACACTAGTGGGATATACGATCTTTTGGCGAAATCCAGATGAAGAACATAGATGACTAAACGGTTACAATAATTATTCTAGCTGGTGATAAATACATAACTGGAAGTTACGCGTATGTCAGAGACCCTTCACGCAGCGAGAACCAAGCAGACTTTTCACAGACGACACTCGATGAGTCAACTATAATCCAAACAGAACTAAACTCTGTGAATAATACACAACGGGCGTATCCCGAACGTGAGTAGAGAGGATCGATACAGTTGTTGAGTTGTGCAACTGTAGCACACACAACAATCAAGCAAGCCACGTGGTTACAGGGCAAACTGTCTCATAATGACCCACAATATAATACACACAACACTTTCACGTAAACAGTTGATAATCAACAGAACTGGTAAACAGTATCACCAGCTAGAATAATTATCGATCCAGGTAAACCAGGTGTGTAGGGTCCCTCTCTCTCCAAGCTACTTGCGACAACACGCGCGTTACATCCGAAGCGAAAAAGTCTAACCCACATAAACGGGTAACAACTGACCGATGGCACACATGCAGAACAATCAAGGTGTGATATCGGTGACCCAACCTTGCCTAATTTTACCTAGGAGGTGTCGCCGGATTACATGGTCTCCCAGTAGCAGTAAGTACGTGACGTGATGGTGACCTGGATAAGCGTCGCGTAGATCGATAAAGCTGGTAGCGTACGTGAGACACCGGCGGCTCGTCAAACAACCGTGGGGACGGGAACCGAGCAGGTGGTGAAAAGCCTCGCCGAGAGGCCGGCCGTGTTTACAGAGCGTTCTATTTGTGAGTTCATCATTTGAGCGTTTCCGCCGTGGGGTGGGAGTACACGCCCTGACACGCCTAGATTTTCGGCCTCTGACATGTCGGTTAGGCACGATATGAATTTTAGGAACACTCTTAGAACAATTAGTTTCTGTTGTATATTCTGGGACAGCAAAGAACACAAATATGTCGGCAAATAGATGCGGGTTGTGTTCTATTTAGGGCACTACTACTACTGCGGCTACTGCTTCTCCTTTTTCTTCCTCTCGTTCACCAATTGTAAACTCCGACTGAAAGTTCTGGTCGTTCGTCGATTTCTGGCCTTTAATCTTGTTTCAGAACCTGAGTTGCGCTTTCACATCCATTTAGCAGATCCGGCTTATTTATATACAAACTAAACTGTTCTTCGTCTCTCAGGTGGATGCAATCCGACTTCAAAGTAAACATCCCTAATTAGTCGTCTTCTACGACATGTTTGTTATGGGGGGAAAAAAGGGGGAGGGGGGTTTATCCCACACCGCTTAATGGGGACTTAGACTCCACACTAGGAAAGGACACTACAATCGCAGGCAGGGAGGGGTATAGGACGGAAAAGGGAGGGGGGGGGGGGGTCAATACCAGCCAAGGTCCTGTTCCTCACATACGATTTTATACGGGCCAGCCGCGGTAGAATAGTCAATATCACCTCGACTGCCTTTATTCCCAAAAACATTTCCTGGGTGCCTTAGAAAATTTCTAACCTAGCTTTCGAGCTTAGCGTGTGTGTGTAGGGTGGGCAGAACATAAAGCGGAAACTGAAAGATGTGTATATTTTTACACGTTAAAGGGAGTGTGTGTGTGTGTGTGTGTGTGTGTGTGTGTGTGTGTGTGTGTGTGTGTGTGTGTGTGTGAAAGAGAGAGAGAGAGAGAGAGAGAGAGAGAGAGAGAGAGAGAGAGAGAGAGAGAGAGAGAGAGAGAGAGAGAGAGAGAGAGAGAGAGAGAGAGAGAAGAGCTGATCGCGTTGAAGTGCAGACTTCTTACATCATATAACTGAACACTTGAACCATCTGAAGCACATGATCAATTTTTCATGGAAGCCACCGACGTAGTCAATAAAGCAAAGCCTACACGACATCCACTTATCGCCCAGAAATCGCGGATGTTCTGATAACAACCGTTTGTTTATCCCAACCTTACTGACCCAGCTGACGGGGATTTCACCGTTGACCAGGCATTTATGACATATATGCGCCGCAACCTGGGAGCTGGCTCAGACACCCCGGGCAACACCATCACATCCCCACAAATTGTATGTCGTACAAGGCGACTAGTCAGGGATGTTCATTATAAGTCAGAAAGCATCTGCCTGCGGTAAAGAAGCAACAGTCTGCTTAGACATAAGCCAGATCTGTACAAGGGATGTGCATACACAACTTTCCGCCGAACAGCCATTATTTACCATTCAACACAAAAATAACTACAACTATAAAATTATAATAATTATAATAAATGAACACTAAAACAAGGCTTAAGCTCTTTGAGCCCTGTCTTATACATATAAAAAAGACACCTCCCCAATCCCTTTTCCCCCAAAAATGTCTTGGTGACGGGATGCCTAATATGACGCAATATATGCTCTATGACGCCACGGTCGCATCTGACATGAATGGTGCCCGCTCCCATCACGGGGATGAGGACAGATTGATGAGTGGAGAGGAGGTTCAGTAGCAGACAATGAATGCTCCCGCTCCCACAAGGATTTCGCTCGCAGCTATAGAGCAGTGAGGTGTCTAGGTTGAGCAACAAGATCTCACCCACGATCGATAACAGTAATAACAGCAAGAATATCAAACTAAACGAACAATCATAAATAACACGCATCTCATGAATACACAAGTAACAACTGCCCATGAAAAAAAGAACCAGCTACAGAATGAGCCAATGGAGTGGGGCGTCAGGGCAAAAAAATAAGCCTTATTACAGTCCAGAAGTCATATGTAGCTACCGTCGTCCCAATGCGGGATGCAATTCTTTCGTTATTTTAAAGCCTCACCCTGGATTTTGTCGGGGGCCCTAAATATAGCCGGGCGCCAAGTATGGATTAACGGTTGAACGGGGTTTTCGGGATCTCTCCACGGGTAATCCTTATCCGCATGTTTACCGCTTGTGTGATGTCCTGGTGGGGTACAACTTAACCAAACTACCTAGGCCAGAAGTCACTTGGCCAGCACAAACAGCATTAACAGCAAGAGTCAATGGTCTTTAAGTATCCCCCCCCCCCTTCCCTTGACAGTTGTTACATGAACCCACACTGTCAATGTCACGGCAGCCCAAGGTGGCACAGTGGCTAGAACAAGGCTGTCAAGAAAGACTGCTTTTGAAATAAAAATTAAAAAAAAGATTTTCAGTCCTCCTAGATCAATCAAGCCTAAAAGAGTTACTAGGAGAATGTCCTGAAAATAAAGTCGGCTGGCGTGATGCTTACCTCATGACCCACCATCGGCTGCTGATTGGTCCATAAAAATGGGAGTCTAGTAGTGTTGCCACTTTACATTTTTACATCCAGATTTAGATGTTTTTGCTTGCATTTAGATGGCGTTTTTGACGTTTAGATGGTAGATGTTTATCTATATGTTTTTCATTCGGAGTGAATTTATAAAATTTAACTTAAGAAACAGGATGACATTGGACATTTTTAATGCTATCTTGACAATAAAATTCGGCTTGATAAGAGTAGGAAAAGGCTGTTCCACTTATCAGCTCCCTGATTAGGTATTAAAAGAAATTGGAACAGCTAAAGCATACCAGAGTCATTTTGGATCTGAAGCTTCAACTTCATCATCCAAGCTGTTTATCCTATGGATCTTGTGAGGCAGACTTCAGTAAAGATGAGGACACGATTCAATAAGGTACGTCACATCAATTGCTATGTAATTTGTGACTCTTTCCATTTTGATGTTTTTTTTAAAGATGATTTCTGAAACTGTTCCCAGCTAACACTTTCCACTGTTCCTGTCCTAGTAACTATGTTCGCTCATGCAGTCACACTCCAGTTACAACAACCAAACACGTCAAAGACATAATAATATTAGTCTTTCCCCCCTAAAAAATCACCTTTACATACTGATCCCTCAAGAGTGACTATTTTATCTAGATTCAACCGCATGCATTTCTATAAATTATAAGTAACTGGAAGAGAACAAGTTAAAAGACGACCTGGTGGCATCTATATAAAGACGTGTAATAAAAAGAAAAAAGGCATTCAGTGTATAGAAAACATACAGGCAATAGCAATCGATAAGGGTGAGACAACAGTACTAACTTTTGCTTTTCTCGGGCGCTTTCTTCTGCAGGCCACGGATGGGAATATCTCCGCCCTGCTGAATCTTTTTGTAGAGTTCTGAGGTTGGTCCCGCCTCCACACCATCTCCGTCAGCTCGCACGTTGGGCTGAGGTCCCTTGTAGGTTTCAGAGCTGGAACAGAGACAACACAGGCATATATTATAGGGCAGATAGCACCAAAGTTTCACATGGCTGAAATAAAATAGAGCTTCCAATAGGAGACATACATGTAAGACATGCGATATAAAAGATTAAGACTGAAAGTAGTAACACAATTAATATAAGAGGAAACGATTATTTAGTTTGTCCATTTGATGAAAATGCTGTGGTATCAACTGCTCAACTGCCACAGAGAGCCATGCTAAAGACAAAGAATGAATACAGAGCAAGAGGAAGGTAACGCAAAAGATTAAGGATGACTAAAAATATAACCTTTGAGAAACGAACATCAAGTTTAGAGATACATTAGAAAGAACACAGAAAGACGTCGTTACAACAATTCAAAACTAAGTGGCAACCATAGCTTCAGCAATTAAAACCCAAGTGGCCCATCGCTTCAACAATCCAAATTGT